TGCCTGCCAGCTACAGTCAACACAGAAATACACAACTGAATGAAATATATCGAGAGGATCATTTATAAGCTCCGTTACAGCAGAAACAATTGCAAAGTTGATGGAAGGTAAGGAGGTCACGTAGGAGTATTAGTTGCCTATTTGGGTTTACGTAATATATTCAATTCTGGAATAAATATATGAGATTTTTCATACTGCAAAATATTACCATCATCTATGAAATCAGTTCATAGATGATGGTAATTCTTCTAAATCTTCTAACTAGAATTTTTATTCATTAACTACAATTTTCATTCCTGACCTGGGAATATCTTCTTTAATTATAGTTTCATTTCTAAGCTTCAGCTGTGGTCAGGAAATACACTAAAGCAGAAATCATTCAAGTGTGAGTTTTAGTACCAAAGGCATTCACCCCTTTTCCTTTTTGGCATGCATGAGGTGCCACCCAGCTCAGCCATGTATATTCATGAAAGAAGACACAAGCAATCTATTGAATCTCTGAGAAAATGTCAAGCAACTGAAATCATCAGACAAAACAACCAGAGGATATAAATCATATAATGATTCATGAGGGAATCAAAGGGAAATTATAGTGGGACAGCATTACAAAAACATTAATCACAGTAGAAACAATCTTCTTTTTTTAAAACTAACTGCTGTTTTAGGCTCTTTTTACACACAAATCTATTCAAGTCTATAGCTCTTTGGTGTTTACATCCATATAGTTCCATAAGCAGAGCTCTAAAATGCAAACATATGTAATTAAATACATACTGTAATACTTGGAGTTTACAGATCTGCATCTACAGTAGAAATGAATGACTAAAAAAGGACAAATGCACCATTGCGCAATGAAGCCCTCTGGAAGATATGTGTAATAAAAATACTGATATACTGTACTAATTATTAATTTTCACAGTTTAGATCATTAAGACCACACAGACCAGAGAAAAAATACTGCTCCACAGAAAATAATTGAAGAAATAACAAAATAGATATTATTAGAGATATGGGAATGGATTGTAGCCTAGTTAGTAATTAAAGTCAGTTTATCCCTATGACATTGTCAGATCATTTTCTCCTTGCAGCTGCTTCCTGTTTCACTGTGAGCAGTTCAGCCTTGTCCGATTAATGATGCATAAAGGTATTCATGAAGGTTACGTTTCTTGTGTCTGTCCCTTTCCCAACAGATTTCTAATTAAAACTAGACTCGATAAGTCTTCTCGGCATGACACGTGACTTTGTGTTTTCGAGCGATAAGACATAATTGAATGATTGCTGGTAGAAAATTCCCTAACCGCCACTTTTCTGAAATGGCAGGAAACGGAAAGGCAGTCGATAAAGAAGCTGGTTGAGCCCAGCATGTTGTCTGGTTAACGCTTCTTCCTTCCATAATGAGCATTTAAGGAACAATACAAATCTCAGATCTGTCTTCACTGTAAAGACATACACCTGAGATCAAAGGAAAAAGAAAGAAAGACAGAACTGTGAGAAAGAGTGAAGTCTGCCACCACTCCTCCCTGGGCAATCATTATTAGTAATAGCTAGCATTAGCCTTCCGAGATCTCTGGTACATGCTTAGCTGTCTGAACCAGGAGGAAACTGCAGTTCATCTCAAAGTCATAAAGTCGATGTGTGCCCAGTAAAATTCCTGATGACACAGGCTGTTTTTTTTCTTTTGTGGCTACCTCGGCCCCTTCCTGCAGGGACACAGCATGTGGGAGATGTATTGTTGCTGGCAGCAGTAATGATCTGAAGCAGGCAGAAAGCCGGGCATGACAGAAAGCAGGGAGAGAAGTTTCTAGTGTAGAGTCTGAACAAAGCAAACAGCACAAGGGAGCTATTTGCACAGTCACTCCAAAGCTTGAATACGATCTATTCCAACACTACATATAGAAATCATAGTTTCTTTGTGTTGTTTTTTAGGTGTATTTCACACATAGGGTATCCATTTTTTTTTTTTTGTGGAAAGTGTCTGTGCAGTGGTTTAGACTGCCATGCTGTTTTGCTTTTCATGAGATGCCCCTTCACACTGAGATACAGGTACATCATAAACACTGAATTTTCCACACCACATATTCCTAAACTCTGTAAAATATCCAAACTATGCAACAAGTTTAGCATTATCATGAGGTTTGGTTCTTTTCTCAGGAACAAACACTATAAATTACAGATGCTCTAACTCTAGCTTGAATAAAATACAAAATAACACCAATGACTGACCTTTATCTAATAAATGCATGAGCTCCTCTGGCCTATAAATCATGCTCAATATTCCGTATCACAGATCTGCCATGAAGTGCTATATGCCAAATCCATCTCAGAATGTCAAAGATCACAGCAATAAGCCTACATGCCTGGCATTTAAAACACAATCAATAATACTTACCCATGATAAATTGAAGTGTAACCTAATTTCAGGACTGTAAACAAAATTATGGTAAACAACGAATATACATTACAAACCAAAAATTCACATTATCTTAAGCCACAAAAATATATATTTTCAAGAGATAATAGTAATGTGTGTGTGTGTGTTTTAACCATGAAATAAAAATGCTTGATTAATTTCAGCAATGACAATGACTGGTTGACTGGTTCTTAATTTGTTTTTGCATTTGCAATTTAGAGTTTTATTGCAGCTATAATTGTAGGAAGCAAATTTTCACATTGGGATGCAACTCAAGACTATTAATTGAATCATGTGTATTAAATAAATATGTAAATAATTAAAAACTGATCATTGTAAGAGACTCACCAATATAAAAATGATTTTGTTTTGGATAAACAAGAGGTATTTCTATTCTGAAGGCAGCTGCCAGTAGCCTCATTCAAAGTAGCTAAATCACCGGTTAGGGCAATATGGAAATTATCATATCACAGTACTTGAAGACATCAGCATGATACATGATATACACTCACTGGCCACTTTAGTAAAAACAACTATACACCTGCACATTTATGCAGTTATCCAATCAGCCAGTCATGCGGCAGCAGCACAATGCATAAAATCATGCCGATACAGGTCAAGAGCTTCAGTTAATGTTCACATCAAACATCAGAATGGGGATAAAGTGTGATCTCTGTGACTTCGACTGTGACATGGTTGTTGATGCCAGATAGGCTGGTTTGAGTATTTCAGAAACTCTATCTCCTGGGATTTTCATGCATAACAATCCCTCATGTTTACAAAGAATGGTTTGAAATACAAAATAAAATAAAAAAAAAAAATGTGTGAGCAGCAGTTCTGGAGTTAGAAATGCTTTGTTGCTGAGAGAGGTTAGAGGAAAATGGCCAGACTGGTTTGAGCTGACAGGAAGCTTAACTTAACTCAAATATGCACTCTTTACAACTGTGGTGAGAAGAAGAGTATCTCAGAATGCACAACATGGCGAATGTTGAGGCAGATGGGCTACAACAGCAGAAGGTTCCACGTCTGTCAGCCGAGAACGGGAATCTGAGCCTACAGAGGGCACAGCCTCACCGAAACTGGACAGCTTTTAGTCTTTTATTTCTTCTATTTTTATTGGGTTTTTTTTTTGCACCAGTGAGTAACAAAAGCAATATAAAAGAACTTGGTGATAATAATACTTAAAACTGCATCATATCTTGTCATTATATCGCAATATCGACATCATATTGTCATATTACCCAGCCCCATTACTGACCATCATTTTAACTGAAGAAGAACTTTGGCAGGCATGGCTTTCAAAATTAACTTAGCTGCATAAGCTTGTTACATAAGTTGCGAAGTTACATTAGCAAGTTAGTTAGTTTTTTTTTAACTACTGAATGACTTTTGGCAATTTACAAGCACAAATGACTCATATGTCAAGCAAAGAGTGAATAAATGTCAACTATCTACAAATCATTTACTTATGTAAACATACTCCCCCATTAACCTGTGACAACCTGCCACATTGTTGAAATTCACTTCAGTGGGTGGATGCCTTCCACTTGGGAAGTCCTTATCTCAAAATTGTGCCCAAAAATGCTGCCTTCAGAATGAAATGCACTGTAGATGTGTTGTTTTCTTAGCAAATTACTTGCAAAGTATATTTTTTTAAACATTAAAAACAATCACTGCTTATTTCAATAATTTTGGTATGCAGTGTATATATTTGATGCTGAAGGACAGAATTCAATTAGAATTTCTGCTGTAGCAGCAAGCGAGCAACAGGAAATCTATCAGACAATTAGATGATATTGGCATACATTAAGCCGAACAAAAAGTTTTGATAAATCACATTAAACTGGTGCAAGAAAACAAGTTCATAAAATTTGCATTAATGTTACATTATCCCATATGGCGATAATTACTTATGGAGGCAATTTCGATTTCTAAGCAGGCTAATGAACATTTTACATATGTCTTGTTGATTCCTCAAGTCTGAAGTATTCAAATTAACTATTCAAATACAGGCTCTAACAGTTGAGCTGTCTAAACTAAGGAGATGTGGGAATATCTGAATGGAGTCAGAAACATATGTTCATCTGAAAGCCACTCTGTCAGCAGTTTTTACCAATGAGCTCCTAAAAGCGGATACAGATCAGTGTTTTCCACGCACTGATGCCCAGGTATATGATCCATTTGATTTGATCCATTAAAGAATGTTTATTTTTAATTTTTCTTTTTAATTAATCTGTATTATTAAAAACTATTTTGCTAGTACATGAATGCAAATCGGATCAGGAGAGGTGGAGGAGTCAGTACAGCATTTGTAGTAGCTACTAACCATGCAGGTTGTCCTGACTAGAATTTCTGCTTTCTCTTAGTTAGAAAGAATGTCTACTTGTGGTTACACTTCTGATATTTACAGGTGAGTTTTCAGAAGAGGCTGTGCAAGGAGGATGAAATTCTCTCAGCACAGGTATCTGATGTTGGCAAATGAATGCACTTTAAATGGGCACTCTCATTTTCTGCCATCACTGGGCTAGCTTAAACGTTACTGAAATGCAGTCAGAAAATATAGCTGTATATTAGGGAAGAACATTTCGGGTCCCTGAAGGACTAGTGGTTAGGCCCCAGTGCTCTCACTGCTACGACCTCGGTTCGATTCCCGGTTAGGGAACTAACCCCAGTGGCATGCAACCGTGCGCTCTCAGTGCCAATCCTAAGCCCGGATAAAATTGGGGAGGGTTGCATCAGGAAGGGCATCTGGCATAAAAACTGTGCCAAATCAAATGCGCGGACCAATGATCTGCGGTGGCGACCCCTAATGGGAGCAGCTGAAAGAGGAACAACAACATCAGGGAAGTACATTTTGGTAATTTCAGCAGACATTGTTTGAATAAAGGACATTATTCCAGTCTAGTATGTGTGTTTGATTTTGACGTGTTTAAATAACAGGTGATTGCTTGTTGTTCTAATAGTAGAATTAAACCCATTTTACACCAGATGTAAAAAACATGGCTCCTGGGCTTTCAATAAAGTCATATGTTAATTAGTGTGGCTTTTTTTTTTTAATGAGCTGCCGCAGTCACACACATAAATCTATTTTTTGCTCCTGGCTGCTTGAGGCTCGCTGGTGGTTTCTGGCCACAAAAATGGAAAAGTATCATTATACATAGCGGTAATGCAAGTTTATACTAATCACACTTTATTTACAGACATTTACATGATGCACGTACTCATGGCAAGAAAGCGCAGAAATAAATGTGCCATATGCTTTCTTCTACGTGACTGAGTTATTCTTGACATGAAAGCTTAGACTGCAGAAGAAATGAAGATAATACGGCTCCATTTCTGAAAGGATTTTGCGTTTGTTGTTTGGCACTGGCAGTTGATGTAAAATATATATGACAAAGTTGAAGAGTTTTACAACTACATAATTAATAAATGTGCATGTACAGGGTCGAGACTACACCTTAGCACCAAAGTATATTTCAAAACAGTGGGAAGCAGTATCATTACAGAGTGAGTGCACAGGAAAGGGCTACAATGACAGCGTTTATCACTACATCTCTGTGATTTCACTAAAACAACAGGGGTGCTTTTACTGTCTACATTTTTACCAAATAGTATACTCCCAGCTCCCCAGTTCCGTCCATCACCCTAGTCATTATGGCTGATAGCTTGTGTTGCTTATGGTTGTTTAAAGCTATCCTTCTGCATCAGTGGTATCAGTGTTCAACATTTAGTAAACACACCAGCAGTATCCTGTGCAGCACTGAGATCCATAATGTATGCAGTATGCTCTACAATTATTATTTGTAGTATTATTAGTTTTAGTAGTGGAAGCCGAGCCCTATGAGTAGTAGAGGTTATAGGGAAAAGGCCGCTGAGCTGCTGGAATGGTGTGCAGAGCTTTCACCGAGATGCTAGCTGCTAGGATACGCTAGCTGCAAGAGCTGTTTTGCTGCTAATTTTAAGTCATGCACTGCTGAGGCAATAAATAAATCATTAAACATGTCTAAAAGAATAAGACAAATCTCTCAGCTGGCACGGGGTCCACAGTGGTGGAGCTGCTGCTTTAATGATGAGCAAGTGCAGGAGTGTGTGTGTGTGTGTGTGTGTGTGTAAGCATTTTAGCATGTAGTGAGAGACCCCCGACCCTGCACAGAAAAGCACTTCAGGCCTATCAGCCATACTGTTGTGTTGGAAAGCCTTGAGAATCGCACCAGCTGAGCTACACGTACTGAACGCTTACTGCTTGGAGCAATTGCTTGCAGTGTAACAACAGTTCAGGAGGATGTGAAAGCCTTGAGTTGCTCTGTGAAATGGTTCACATCACACAACAAAGCTTGATTTAAACCTAAAAGGATTATTTTGTCAATAGCAAACTTGCCCGATTTAGAGCTCAGTAATGCAAAGATTTCCCAAACCCAAGGGTAAGGGGCTTGTGGGAGTGGTACCCTCCTGCAGAGAAAAAAAAGTTCAAAAATTTGACTGCTTTCTGGTGGCTTTTACATATAAAATAATACACTCAAGTGTACATATTTGTCTCTGCTGATCATATCACCAGTTGCTAACTGCCTCTGTAAACAACAGTGTGGTTGTCTCGTTCAAAGTATTCAATTCTCTATGTATCTTGATGCACTTCAATTTTTTTCTTGTTTGAAAACATTAGATATAATGCTGTATCTTAGCTCCAGACTATGTGACACTGAGTGAAAGCCCGGGTTTTCAACAACAGTGTAGGGGCACAAAGCTTTTGCGAGAAATCTTGCAACTGACCTGGTAATTCACTTTGCCCTTTCTAAATTATGTGGAAACTCTGCCACTTGCTTGGGAGTTTTCATGGAGCTGAAACAGAGCTTGCACATGGCATGCCTCTTGTCCAATACTTGCTTGTTCTTTTAATTCATAATATCTGCAATGTTTTCACACAACCACTTTCAAAGCAGAGGGCCCATCTTCAAATCCGCTAGCTAGTTTCTAGCATAAACGTAGCACACCTATGCCATTACATTTCACCACTCAATTGGTCTAAGCCTTGTGAAATTTAAAAATACATTTTATTTTTTAAATTATTTTTTAATTAGGACTTGCTCAACATTGTATTTGAACTGTTTTTTTTTTTTTTTTGCTTTAAAAAAGTCTTATTAGAGAGACTTGTGCTTCATTGAAGAATTGTTTGTTCCCAATCCTAATTTTGCAACTAAGACCGAACTCTTGTATTCATGTTGCTTCACCTTCATATAGCCCTGAGGCTGACTTCTTGCTTAGACCTGTAGATAACCTCCGCGTATGCTCTCCCCCATCAGTATTGTCCATTTTGTCCCTCACTAGCCATTGTGACTCATTCATATACAGGCCAATCAAAGCTTCCTTCATATTTCTCTCCCTTTCCTCCTTGCTTATGTCTTAAACTAAAGCTGTTTTCCTTTGAGGTGCCTGCAGGCAGAGTGACATTTATCCCCATCTTTGATTTATCTTAGCTACGCCACTCTGATGGCCATGTACTTAAAGTGTCAGAAATACAGACCATCCATCTGTTTAAGTGGGTGACCGGTACACAGCTACACTCACATCGGGCTTTAAAGGACATGGTAACATCAGTATGACAGAGAAGGGCAAGAAATCTTTTTCCTTATCTCAGAAACACCCTGTTAGCAACCAGGCTGTTCTATGCATGTGACAGACTGAGAGGCCTGCAGTAATGACTAAATTAGTGACTGGTGCACAGATGTGATGCCTTTCCTGCATGCACTATATAGTTATATAAATGTATTTTAGTAGATACAGACTAAAGTGTCACCTCAGTATGCATTAAAATAGTATAACTATCCTTTTCCTTACTTTATCATCATGTTGATGAAAGATCTCTCATTGAATTTGAATGTAGTAGCCTAGGCCTGACACATACGTGTCATTAGTTTAGGTCGTTTTACTTCATTTCATGAGTTTGGATTATGATATGATTAGCTAGTATTCAGCCATTATAAATAAATGTGCATCCACTCTCTTACAGAAGGCAGATGAATCACACATCCCCACCATCAAATTCATTTTTATTTTATTACAGTAAAATAAATATTGTCTCCTTATGACATTAAGTTGCTTACTTACAAGTAACAGCACATGTCTGATGTTTATAAGAACATAGCCTAATGGATTTCTGTGACAAAACTTTTGATTTAAACCCAAGAGCAAGTTCATTTAAGAGCTCACTCACATTCAGTTCAGGTAAAGGCTATGGTTCTGTAACATTTGATTGTTTCCGTATTTTTTTCCCTGTTGTTCGCTCTTCATTTTGCTCTGCTTGTTCTTTTTTTTTTAGCCAAACTTATATCTCATACACTACTCACAATCCTATTCTATAATTTTCTTGCTACAAGGCAGATATATGGCTACTGCCTGTTAAGCGATATATGTAGGATATTAGTAACCCTTCTTTCATTTTACATGGTAAATTATTCACATGTATTAAGCATTGTGTAATAAATATGATAGATGTTTCACCATCATATTTCATCATATCTGTCTACTATTTTGATACTGATGGCTGGCACTTCTAGGGAAGGACGCATGCAAGGACCAAGGACATTGCTCATGAGATAAATGCCTTTGGGACACCTTCCCTCCAAAATAACCATGACACTGGGGCTGAAATGTAACTCAAATAATTTCTAAATGACCATGGCAGACAGAAGAAATCTAGTGCTTCAAAATATACCGTTTCAGTTATTACTTTGTAATCGGCAGCACCTTCATTAAATCATATCTTAACCTATCAACCCATTTCACACAGGAATTGCTTGGTTTGCTGTCAATGTATTACAAAACCACACATTCAAATGCACTTAATCTATGCATTAAATTACCTTTTAGGGAAAGGATAAACTTACAACTTCTTGAATATAATTATGAACCTAGGACTGCCTGAAAGCCTTAAAAGACATTAGTTTATTAGTTTCCTGTACCCCATGCCCTCACAATGGCTTTTTAAATTTCATCATTTAATTATTGAACACTTTAATCCCTTCCTGCAAGAGTCTAGGGAAATGCTGTTTGCATATCTCCTGCCATTAAGTAGACAGTTTAAAGGAAACACTTTTCCCTTCACCTTTCCTCTACCAATCTATCAGTCTCTCATGATGGATGGCTGTGAAAAGAGTGAGGGAGAAAATGTTTCAATTACAGGTATACCGAAGCTACAGGGCAGGAGAGGAAGCACCAAAAATAAATAGCTGAAACCTCATAGGCAAACACTAAACTTGAGCAGCACTTATCAGAAATGTCAAATTATCATAAATGCTGCCTAAGTGTGGTTTCATACGATTTAAGCCATTTTTAATGAACAAATAAGACAGCCAATCTTTTCTAAAAGAAAACATGTGAAAGCTGCTAATGTCAACATTAATGGTCCATTTTAGAGCCCTCTGTTAGTGGGAAAATGCATTAGACTTATCATTTTCATTGGCAATGCAACAGTATCCATTCGGTAATGGACTGAAAGAACACGGTGGTGGTTTCACTAAGATCAGGACAGACATTAAGGAATCAGTTTGTAATGTGACATTGACATGGATGGACTTACGATTATAATCAATGAGTCATGTGCATATGGAACAGAGAACCGATTAAAATGAAGTTTGCTACTTAGAATGTGGAGTGTTGTAGGATTAT